AAATTAGTGGCCTAGAGCCAGCGCGTGTGCAGTTGACTTCTTTCCACTCCTAACCTCCCCTGTTGTATCCTTGTTTTTCCCAGTGTGAAGAAATGTGGGGAAAGCCACAAAACTGATAGGATTCAGGTTACTTCTCATTGAGCTAGAGAGAGCAAGGTAAAGAACATTTGAACTAGAAAAAAAAAAAAAACAAAGCATTGAGAATGTGGCAAGATTGCTTAGGAAAGTCTTTGCCACTGTGTATCAGGCTGACTTTTTTCTTTGTGAATCCCTGTTTTCAGTTTCACCATTTAGGGAATATTTTTACCTGTACGCATAGTCTTCTAACGCTGGTTCAATGTCTGCTGGGATCCCTGGCATTTCTCTTCTGGTACCTTAGGTTTAGTTTGTTTACCTCATTATTTATTTAGGTCTTATTTCCCAAACATCCAACATTTAGTGAAAGGGGTTTTCACAGAATGAGACCAGGTTGTTAAACATGCAAGGTTACCATGTTCTGGTGTTCTTCTGTAATGTCCCTTGACAGTTGTGAGCAATTACAGAGACCGAGGCTCCCTTTACACCACAGTTTGTAGTCTAAACACCTTCCCGTACGGCGTCACCTTTAGTTAAACCTAAGCAGAATGAACTCGGGTGGCTGACTTTGGCCTTTTTTTTTTTTAAACAGTCTCTTTCAGATCTCGTTGGTATTATTAATTACCTTTATCAAAGAGATTAGAGTTGGGTGATCCTGAGCTATAAGGAGATCTGAAGAAAGAGGAATTGCTTACAAAGTCAACAAGAGGAAATCCACCCCCACGTATATTTTCCCTGAAAAGAAAAGAAAGGCAGTACGATCTAGTAGAGAGACTACTAGACTAAGTCAAGAGAATTGGGTCTAGTCCTGGCTCTGGGTTGCCTTTGACCAACTCCACCTCTTGGCCTTATTCTGTTCATTTTTAAAACTTAGGGGTAGCACTCAGTCCGTGGTTTAAAAACTTTCCAGAGAAGAAATTGTGTAGAAATTTCCTTGAACTATATAGAGAAGACGTAGAGTAAGCAGGACCTTCAGCTGTATTTTAACAAGGGCAGCTATTTTGTGGTCTGCTTATATAACAGTGTCCCCTTAAGAAAATTAAGTTCGTATCTTAGACTAGATGATATAAATTTCTTTCTAGCATTAGAATCCTTTTTCTTAGGGTAATTATTCATTTGTATTCTACTTGAATTCATTTAAATATCATAATTTTTCAATAAAAGAGATATACTTATTTTATTCTTAAAAGCCACAGACATGTCCGTATTCAATCCCATTTGTTTATAAATATAAATTTCAAATTTAATCCCTTTACTATAAGAAACATAGTTATTTATTTTTCTTTCCATACCCCCCATTTTTTTTTTTTTGCTTCTTTCCATACCCTTTTATTGTAGCCATATAATTTTTGCTTACATTGAGTGGTCATCATTATCCTTGCAATACAGAGGACATGCATTTCCCATTTTACAGATTCAGCAGCTGAACTTTAAGATGTTAGCTGGCTTGCCCAAGATCCCATTGCTGGTAAAAGTGTAACTCCTAGCCCCGTGTTTTCCTCAGAGCGGCAGGTGATGTTCGTTTTCTTTCCCTCTTGCACTCCACCTCTCATGCTCAGGTTCCTATCGCACAAAGCA